AAAAATAAAGAAATAAACTTAAAACAATCAAGAGAGAAAAAAAAGAGAGGTCCACGCGTTGGCTCCTTAAAAATTCTATTCTCAGCTCAAACGCGGCTTCCTCAGAGAAGGTATTTCTTACCATAGAGCAGAGACCAGCCCCTCCTACCACTGCTATTTACTGCTGCCACCCTGACCTATCTCATCCGGCAGCCACCACTCTCAGATTTTGGCTTGTTCACTGGTCAACCATCACCCCAGCTGGAATATGAGGTTCTTGACAGCAAGGGGTCTTCGTCCGTCTGGGTGACCCTGCCTACGTCCAGCACCTTCCGCAAAGCCCTGCGTGCAGCAGGCATTCCATAAATGCTCAGTGAACAAATGTACACAAAATTCCACACTGAGCTTTCTGGCAGCCAAGACAAGGTAGGAAACAGGAAAACTTCCGCCACTCTTGTGGTCTAACAGAAGTATGTTGGTTATCAAGAGAGATACTTCCTAGCTACAAGCACTAGAAATCTGCCCCAGGAGTCTTAGTAAAGGGGATGCTGAATATGGGTGCCTGGGTGGCTCAGTCAGTTAAGCACTTGACTCTTATTTAATGTTTATTATTGAGAGAGAGAGAGAGAGAGAGAGCGAGCGAGCGAGTGCATGAGCACGCGAGTAGAGCCAAAGCAGGCTCCAGGCTCCAAGCTGTCAGCACAGAGCCCAACGCTGGGCTTGAACCCACACGCCACGAGATCATGACCTAAGGTGAAGTCAGACGCTCAACCGACTGGGCCACTCAGGCGCCCCGCATCCGACTCTTGATTTCAGCTCAGGTCACGATCTCATGGTTGGTGAGATCAAGCCCTGCTTTGGGCTCCACGCTGTCAGCACAGAGTGTGCTTGAGATTCTTGTGCGTGCGTGCTCTCCCCCGCCTCTCTCCCCGCTTCTCTCTCTGCCTCTCCCCCACTTGCATTGTCTCTCAAATAAACTGAAAAAAAGGGGGGATGCTGAACAAAATGGGGGTCACCCTAGACTACTTCCTCCTCATCCCCTACAGGCAAACAACCGTCCAAATCCTTGCAGTTTTGATCAGTATATCATCAACCTATCATTCAACCAACAAGAATGAGGGATTACCACGGGGAGGCAGAAGTCCCCGCCCTCAAGACCACACGCAAATATTCTCAGGTATCTGTAAGGCCTAACGAGAACTACGAAGAGAAACGCAACAGCGACAGGGTGCAAGTGGTCAGGGAAGGCTTCCAGGAGGTGTCCTTTAAGCCGAGTCCTATGTGATGGGATGGTCACGTGGTGAGCCGAGGGGCAGAGCATCACTTTGCCCTTCCCTTCCTTCAGGCCCCCACCATGTCACTTCAGTCAAGTCCTCCTACCTGGCCTCGGGTCCCCAGCGGCAGGCTTTTTCCAACCCGGTCTCCACCCAGACCCAAGAGGGATTTTTCTGAAACACGCCAGCATGCCTCGGGGACTACCGACTCCCCAAAGGCTCCTGCGGTGCCAAGGATGGAGCCCAAGCTCCCGAGTGTGGCTTTCATGCTTCAGGAACTGCTCTGTCTTAGCCTGTTCCATCCCCTAACAAGATCGCCAAAGGCACACTGAGCAAGCTGCCCTTCTGCACGCCTCGGGATTTTGTGAATTAAGAGGTCGCGGCAAACACAGCTTCCTGTGCCCAAACACTACTGTCTTTAAAGACTCAGTTGAAACCTTCCTTCTTCTGTGACACAATCGCAGGGGCAGCTAGTCTGGGTTAGGTGCCTTCCTGACCTCTAGTACTTTTCTTATTGCAGTTCTCAGCACACTAGGCTACTATCGTTTGCTCATCGGTCTTTCTCCCCACTTGACTGGGAGTTCCATGTGCTCCTAAAAGGCAGCTAGCGTTTTCCATTTATTGTCTCCCCAGGCACAGGTTTTCTGTTAATGAAACACCCTTAGTAACTCCTGCTAAACCAGTACAAATGCTGTACGTTTCTCTTACAACAACCAGTACCCACAAACAGAGCAGACAGACTGGAAAGGAGGAGGAAGAGTTGGGACACAGCTCAGTTCTTCAAGGAAAACAATATAGACTATTAGAACGCCACAAGACCACAATGTATTATTAAGTCCACAGGGAGTGCGCAAAACGGGCGATGTATGTAGGTTTCCAAAGGCAACCTGTTTCCAAATACAGATGGTTCCCAACTTACTGATGGTCGGACTCAAAATTCTTCAACCTTATTACCGTGCAAAACTGATATACATTCAGCAGAGATCACATTTCAAATTTTGATCTTTTCCCAGGCTAGTGATACGGGGTAAGATACTCTCTCGTCAGGCAGTTCCCGATACGCGATCACGGAGGGTAAACAATGGATAGAACGTACAACCATCCCATTGTTCGCTTTCATACAGAACTCAAGAAATTAAATGGTATCCAACTCTTTGTTATAACTAGGCTTTGCGTTAGATGGTTTACCCAACGGCGCGCTAACGTAAGTGTTCTGAGCCCGTTTAAGGCAAGCTTCGCCAAACTATGACGTTCAAAGGATTATGTGTATGAAATGCATTTCTGGCTTAGGATATTTTCAACTTACGATAGGTTTATTAGGATGTAACCCCGTCCTAACGGGAGGAAGATCTGTACCTCAAAACAGTTACCTGGGCAGATGGGAGCAGCCAGTATGCCCTGCCCCATTTCTAGAGTGCTCCCCACTCAACTAAGCAGATGAAAATGAACTCACCCTTGGGCTCCTTCGAGGCGTGTGCACAGATGGGGTCTGTGGAGACAGTAATAACTGATCACTTAGCCACCCCCAATTTTGGCTCCCAACCCACAACCCTTCTGTTAGCCCTCACCTTTACGGTATGGGCGACGATCTTCTTCAAAACGATGGGCTTTCTGACAGGAGCCGCAGGGGATGCCTGGAAAAGAGGAGTGAACATGAACTACACATTACTCCACCGGCCTCCGAGGCAGAAACTGAGGAATCCCGGGCTCACCTTGGGCCAGATTTCAGGGAGGGTGCTGGGGAGATCAGGGCCTGATTTCCGCTGGGACCTCCGCGGAGACTGAGTAGAAGACGGGGTCCTGGGCCCTGGGAAGAGAAAAAAGTTAGGAGGTAGGGGAGGGCTCTAAACCTCAGAGTCTAGAGAACAAGTTCAGGAGAGGGCGAGAGAAAGTTCCCAAACAAGCCCTTTGGGGCTTCTTCCCGGGAAGGAGCCTCCTAGAGCGGTGGGGGAGGGCCTTCCTCACGGGGCTCCGTCCCTCAAACGGCTCGGCCCCAGGCTCCCGCGCGCCTTCCGCTCACCGGAGCGTTGGGCGGCCCCTCCGGACCGCGTTCGCCTCTCGGACATATTAGCCTTGGTCTCGATCTCCGCCACGGTCTCCGCCGCCAGGGCTCGCGCCAACCCGGAGGGCCGACGGAGACAGAAACGTTCGAATTACCCGCCTGGCTGGGAGGAAGCGGAAGTGACGCAAGGGGGGAGGGCCGCCGTGCTCAGTTTTCACCTCTTCAGCCGTCTTCACGTCTAGCGTCAGCAGGGGCGGGGCCAGTGGCACGCTAGCGTCATCAGAGCGCGCCGCACCCGGAAGAGACGTGGCAGCGGAGGGATAATCAGAGCGGTCCGGGGTAGAGAGCGCAGAGCTCGGCTGAGCGCGGTGTCTGTCCTTCCGCGCCCCGGGCCAGCTCTCGCGCCTGTCGGGACCGGTGCGGCGGTCGTTCGGGAACACGAAGAGCGGGGTCTGTATTGAACGTGGGGGCGGGGCTTGGAGGGGGTGGGGCTCAGGCGGAGCCCCTGGGGGCGGGGCTGCTGGTATCGGAGAGACGCTGATGGAGGGACGTGGCGGGGGGCGGGATCCAGGAGGAATGGGGGGTCACTAGAGGCGGGATTTGTTCAGGGGGCGTGGCCAGGGGTGTAGCGGGGCAGTGGGCAGGAATTGGGGGTTGGGGCGATAATGAGAGGTGTCTAGAGGAGTTCAGAGTGGAAGCCATCTGGGCTTGTGAGTTCGTAGTGGAGGACAACAGAATTCTCTGTTAACTCAGACTCCTTTCTCAGGGTCGAATATGGGACTTTGCAAGTGCCCCAAGAGGAAGGTGACCAATCTGTTCTGCTTCGAACACCGGGTCAACGTCTGCGAGCACTGCCTGGTAGCCAATCACGCCAAGGTGCGTCCTTCATGGGAGCCGCTGAGCAGGGCACTGGGTGGGCAGGCAGTATTGGTTTTCTCCAAATCTCTGAAGGGCCTGGGCTGGAATGGAAGCTCCAGGAGGGGAGGAACTTGGTTTATTTTGTTCTCGACTCTATCCCCAGCCCTTAAGACAGACTCTAGCACACTGTGGGCTCAATAAATGTTTATTGATTGGACAAAAGAAAGGATGATTCTCCTTTGTGATGAGAGACCAGCAGCTGGGCCTTGAGAAGATGGGCCCCAGTTGTGACCTCTCTCTCCCTCTGCAGTGCATTGTCCAGTCCTATCTGCAGTGGCTCCAAGATAGCGACTACAATCCAAATTGCCGGCTGTGCAACATACCCTTGGCCAACCGGGAGACGACCCGCCTCGTCTGTTATGGTGAGGCCTGAGCGCCTTGGGAGGGATCAGGACAGGCCCAGCTTGGTGACCAGCTTCCAGGGCCTCTCTAAGCAGCAGGGCAATGGAAACCACCCCCTCCCAAGCTTGGGAGGCTGGAGCCCAAAATTCTAGCCCTGCTACATTATTTACCTGCTATGCGAGCTCAGACAAGTCATTTTCCCTTTCTAGACCTCAGTGTTTTGCCCTAAAAATTAAAGCTCGTAGGTTTTTTTTTTTGTTTCTCGTTTTTTAAGTTTATTCATTCTGAGAGAGAGAGAGAGCGCGCGAGAGTGGGGAAGTGACAGAGAGGGAGAGGAGAATCCCAGGCGGGCTCCACACTGATGTCCCCCAATTCGGGGCTCGAACTCACGAACCCGTGAGGTCATGATCTGAGCCAGGGTCAAGAGCTGGACGCTTAACCGACTGAGCCACCCAGACGCCCCTAAAGCTCTTCGTTGCTTACCTGCCCGTTTTGAGGATTGAAGGAGAGTCGGACAACAGTGAGCTGAAGGGAGAGAGGAAGGGAGTTTCCCACAGTAAATCAGCAAAAAGAAGTCAGCAGTCACATGTGTCGTGACCTTGACCTGACTGCGGTGTAGGAGTCTTAGTTCCACTTTTTTGAAGGAGCGAGTGCAAGAGAGCTCCATGTATGTATTTCTCGTTGTGTGTATGTGTGTATCTATATCCATGAATTTAACGTGGGTTATGTTTTTACATGTGTTAACGGGTTCCTTAGTACTTGGGGACGAGTAAACGGGTAAATCGTGTGAACATACGAACACAGGTGCGTTGTGGGGTCGCAGGAGTATGTGTGGGTGACAGTGCTTGAATTTTAGCAAACGTGAATGTATAGATGTGTACGTGTGCAAGTTAGTGTGCCCACGAGTACAGATACAGGGGACGGTACTTGTGTTTGACTGTAGGTGTACAAGCGCGCGTACATTTGTGTCCGTGGGTGTGTGCATGCATCCCTGTGCCTGTGTGTGTTTAGGAACTTTTTCTGAAACTGTTCTTGATTAGCTGTTAGCCCGAGGATCTTGTGTTCAGTGCAGGTTCAGAGAGGACTCACTTTAAGGGTCGCTGGCATCTTCTTCCCATCCTGGTGGGCTTCTCCCTCCTAGTGGGCTGGGGATCTTGGTAGCATCTACCTTGACTGGGTCAGTGGTGACCAAGAAGGCTCAAGTCTTAGGGGACACTGCTGAAATGGACCTAAGTGAGGACAGGAAGGCTGCAGGCTTAGGTGTATGTGCGCCTATGTCCCTAGAGCAGGCTGGGGGCAGTTGCTGGGCTAGGGGTCCTAAGTGTCTTCTTCCTCTTACCTCTCCTCCCCTGTCTCATGGGCCCTAAGACCTCTTCCACTGGGCTTGCCTCAACGAACGTGCCGCCCAGCTACCCCGAAACACAGCGCCTGCTGGCTACCAGTGCCCCAGCTGCAGTGGCCCCATCTTCCCCCCGACCAACCTGGCTGGCCCTGTGGCTTCTGCACTGAGAGAGAAGCTGGCCACGGTCAACTGGGCCCGAGCAGGACTGGGCCTTCCTCTGGTGAGAATCTGTTTGTCTGTCTGACCATCTGCCCTGGGTGCCACCTGGGCCAGATGGGTGGGGAGGGACATAATTAGGCAGGCCGATGACATAGGCTCCTTCCTCCAGATCGATGAAGTGGCGAGCCCGGAACCCGAGCCCGTCAACACCTCTGACTTCTCCGACTGGTCTAGTTTTAATGGTAAGCGGTGCCCCGCACTGCCTTCGGGGGCTCTCGCCACCCTGCTCTGCTGACAGCTGTCTTCTTGCCATAGCCAGTGGTGCCCCAGAACGAGAGGAGATTGCCAGCGCTTCCGCCGCCCCAGCCTTCTACAGCCAAGTCCCCCGGCCCCCCGCTTCCCCGAGCCGGCCCGAGCAGCACACGGTGATCCACATGGGCAGCCCTGAGCCCTTGACTCACGGTGAGCCGGGGCACTGTCCAGTCTAGAGGAGGATAGAAAGGGAGTGGGCTGGCTTGTAAGGAGCTCAGGGTTCCAGAGTCCTCCCCGGGGGGGCCCTCCCCTCTCACTCTTACATGGCCATCACCTCCCCACGGTTCCGAGACATTCTGTCAGGCTGAGAGGGCAAGGAGCTCCTGCCCTCCCCACCCCCCACCCTGCTGCAGGCCAGTTTCTCTGAGCCTGTGGATACCGGTGGCTCTGCCCCTGCAGCCTCAGCCCCGAGGAAGGTGTATGACACGCGGGACGATGACCGCTCACCAGGCCTCCACGGGGATTGTGATGATGACAAGTACCGTCGCCGGCCTGCCCTGGGCTGGCTGGCCCAGCTGCTCAGGTACACAGGGTCAGGTGGGGCAGCATGGCAGGAAGGGGGAGGGGAGGAAGTGAGAGCCAGAGGCCCTGGGCGTGATGGTTTCATGACAAAAGGGGCCTGTTCTGGGCAGTGACACCTCGTGTTGGGCTGTGCAGGGAGGCCGCAGCTTGGCAGTAGGAGTCTTGGGTCTGCTCTACTCGCGGGCTGTTTCCTTGCCCGTTAGGTATCTGGGGCTTGAACTTGGGCTCTTTGAGGCCCCTTCCTGCTCTGGCACCACCTGACCTTAGTGACTCTACCATGCCTGACACATTCCAGTTTCCAGAACAAGTTGTTGCCTCAGCTGGTTTGAGCTGCACAGTCACCTGTGTAACGGGCAGGTGCAGGGTTGACCCTGCACGCATGAAGAAACAAAGCTCAGGAATGGTGGCCCTAGGGCCAGAAGACAAGTGTTGTGACTGGGGTTCCTCTCCGGGCTGAGGGGCCGTCAGGGAGCGGGGACCTGACCTGACTTTCCCCTCGTCCCCCTAGGAGCCGGGCTGGGTCTCGTAAGCGGCCGCTGACCCTGCTCCAGCGGGCAGGGCTGCTGCTGCTCCTGGGGCTTCTGGGCTTCCTGGCTCTCCTTGCCCTCATGTCTCGCCTGGGCCGAGCTGCAGCTGACAGCGATCCCAACTTGGACCCGCTCATGAACCCTCACATCCGTGTGGGACCCTCCTGAGCCTTTGCTTGGAGTTGGGCCAGCCTAGGACCCGGGGGCCTGAGGTGGGGAGGTCTGGGGGCTTTTTTTCTCCGCTCCTCTTCTTCAAGCTTGAGACACTAAGATTCCAGGCCCAGCCAAGTCCACTAGAGTGGCTGCTGGCTGGGCTTGGGGCCCCTGCAGTTCAAACGTTTGTCTTGACCTGCTTACCCTGGGTCTCCAGCCTCCCACCCTCCTCCCCACAAAGGAGATGACAGGTGGAAATAAATGACAGACTTTATTAAAACACCGAAGCCTCCTTTTCCTTCCCCCTTCTCGGCTCGGTCCTCTGGCCTCAGTGACTCTCCTCCCGGTATTGGATGGCCAGAAACTCCAGAGACAGGCGGTTGAAGAACATGGCTCCATTTAGCACTGGGCAGAGGAGAGAGCCCCCATCAGCATTCCCTGCCTGCTCTTTGCCAGGTCTCAGGGATCCAAAGCTCCCCTTCCCCCTTAGCCCAGCCCCCACCCCCACTCACTCAGGATGGTCAGGGAAAAGCACCGAAGAAACTTGTTATCTGTCATCTCAGCGTAGAGTGACCCCATGGCGGCCCAGCAGATGCCGATCACCTGGGAGAACTGTAGGCCCCATCCGGTGGGAGAGTGGCCCCCTGAGACAACAGCGGGGTTTCCATCAGCCCCTGGACCTCCCCCGACCACGCCCTTGAGCCCCGGCCCCGGTCTACCATCAGGACAACCGTGTAGTGGAAGCTCATGCGGTCGTAGTGGTGGGTGACACAGAAGTTGTGCACGTCGCTGGCAAAGACACTCAGGTGTACAAGGAAGAGCATCAGTGAGGCCACAGTGAGCATCATGCCTTCTGGAAAGAAGAGCACAGCCAGCCGGTCCCGCCATCGCATCCTGGCGGCAGCGTAGACTCCAGTCAGACGGCGGAGTTGAGCAAGCCGACACTGTCCAGGAGAAGCAGCTGGCCCTTCTCTTTCTAGAGTGCACAGTTTGGAATAGCGGTGGGGTTCCAGGGCCACAAGGACATTGGAGGGGACAAGATTCTAGAATCCAGGCTGGTTCCAGCCAATAGAGGAGTGGTTCATGAGGGGCCAGGGGAGCACCCGAGTTAAGGGAGGTTGGAGGGTGACAGGTGCAGGCCAGCAGGAGCCTGTTGGCTTCATCGGGTTGATGAAGGGACAGCGTCCCGTATCATCTTGCCCACACACCGTGTACGCTTCTGCGTACCTTCTCGCTGAGTCCCCTCGACAGTGCCACAGAGGAGGCAGTGTGGGTACTTGTACAGAGCCGGGGCTCGGAACGGCGGAAGGGCATGTCGCAGGTCTACAGCAAGTCTTCGGCCAACAAGAGACTAGGCCCCAGAAGGGTAGCCGGAGGGCATTCCCAGGTGAGGAGGCCTGGGCTGAATTGCAAGCCCCAAGTATCTGCTCCATCCCCTAATGGGGAGGAACGAAGGGAAGGGAAGAGGTGAGAGAGTGCCCATAACTGTTCGGGCACCTTCCCCGGGCCTTCCATATGTCCAGAGAGCACCCGGCTCTTCTATCCTCTTCTTCAGGGGCCTGATGCTGACCAGCTTGCCCTTCTCTGCCACCTTCAAGCACGCAGCACTTTCACCCCATCATCTCTGTCCTTTCCCGGAGTCCCAGGTGAGACTGGTGGCATAAATCCTGTTTTGTGCACAAGTTCGAGGTAGAGAGAGGGAGTGCCGGCTCAAGTGCTCACGGCCATGAGTGAAGGAGTCAGTACTGAGACTAAGATCCAGTACTGAGACTAAGTGGGCAGGGACACTTCCAAGCAAGAAGAAAACACTTCCTCCATACGTGTAAGAGGTGAAAACTCCAGGACTCTCAACCACAGAATCCAGGAAAACGGGCAGAAATGGTGTGGAGGGACATGAACACTCCCGGGAACTAAAGTAGAAGGACAACATGAACTTGGCCACTCCCATGGCCTCCTTCCTGTCTCTCTGCCCCAGAAGTAAGGTTCAAGGTCTGGCCAAGACCCAAAGTCTCCTGCCACACCATGCTTGCTGCCCAGTGTCCTTAATCACAACCATCCCTGAGACCCCCGTTCTGACACACCACAGGGGTGACACCCAGGGCCCAGCCATGGGCCCACTGCTGAAACAATAGTTTGCATCTCGGTTCTCTGGTGAATACACATGAGCTTTTATGCATTAGGGTTTCTGGCTCCGTGTCATTAAAAAAAATTTTTTTTATGTTTATTTTTGAGAGAGAGCACGTACTAGTAGGGGAGGGGTGGGGGGGGAGAGGATCTGAAGCAGGCTTTTCACTGACAGCAGCAAACCCGATGTGGGGCTTGAACTCATGAACCATGAGATCGTGACCTGGGCCGAAGCCAGCTGCTCAACTGACTGAGCCACCCAGGCGTCCCTGGCTCAGTGCCATTGAAGGAAGTATCCAAGTAGTGTGTGAACTTGTTCTTGTAAAAGATTTGCACGATGGGTGCCTGGGTGGCTCAGTCAGTTAAGCGTCTGACTCTTGGTTTCAGCTCAAGTCATGATCTCATGGTTCGTGAGTTTGAGCCCTGCTTCCAGTAAAAACAAACCCCACTTCAGATGAGCCCCACTTTCTCTCTCTCTCTCCTCTCTGCCCCTCGCTCACTTGCACCCTCTCTCTCTCTCTCAAAAAAAAAAAACAAAAAAAAAAAAAACAGATTTGCATGATACACAAGCATACAGAGGAAAAGGCAAGAGCCTTCCACCTCCTACGTACCTAACAGGTAACCCCCTCGATAGTTTGGTGAGTGGGTATCTTTTGGGTCCCTTCTTCAAAAAAATTTTTTTTCATGTTTATTTATTTTTGAGAGGGAGAAAAGACAGAGTGTGAGTAGTGGAGGGGCAGAGAGAGAGACAGCACAGAATACGAAGCAGGCTCCAGGCTCTGAGCTGTCTGCACAGAGCCTGATGCGGGGCTCGAACTCACAAACCGTGAGATCATGACCTGAGCTGAAGTCAGACGCTTAGCCACCTGAGCCACCCAGGCGCCCCTTTTGGGTCCCTTCTTGATGTAACTACATGTGCGTACATGTGCATATACATGCATAATTTAAAAAATATGTAGAGAATCACAGCATATGTATTGTCAGAGTATAATCTTCAAAATGTTAAAAGTCCGATGCTAGATCTGGAATGAACATGTAACCAAGCTGTATTAACCCATCAGTGAGGGGTTCCCCCTCAGTAAGGTGGTAATACGTCTTGGGGAGCTGGATATTGATAGGCATTTAAAGAGGAGTGTTAGAGTATGATTCTAAGTTAGACACAAAACTGGTTCATGTCCTATAGGGCGATAAGAAATACAACTTTGGAAGTTATTTTTTCTACTGGATATAAATGTTTTGTATCTGCACAATATCTACTTGTAATGTCTGCATCTGAACACTTAGTGGTAAATAGCAAAATCAAATGTTCATCCCTATGGGTATTTAAATAGTCCTCGGATGGCTATAGCACTGGGAGGACATGTTGCATTTTGGGTCTTATTTCCAAATTTTGGGTAGTTTTTCTCACCAGTGTTCTGCAACCTATTTTTTTTTTTTAAGTTTATAGACTTCTTGGAGTAGATCTAAATCTTTATACTCTTTTCTTCATTTTCTTAAGATTATAGCTTCATAGGCCGACACTGTATTTTTTAAAATATTTTTTACATGTTTATTTATTTTTGAGAGAGAGAGGGAAGGAGAGCGGGGGAGGAACAGAGAGAGAGGGAGACACAGAATCCGAAGCAGGCTCCAGGCTCTAAGCTCGGCACAGAGCCCCACGCGGGGCTCGAACTCACAGACCACGAGATCATGACCTGAGCCAAAGTCAGACGCTTAACCGACTGAGCCACCCAGGTGCCCCCGACACTGTGTTTTTTTAAACAGCCTCTGAACATCCTTCTGAATATAGATTTCAGGGGTCAGCAAACTTCCTTGAAAGGACCAGATGGTAAACGTTTTAGGTTTTGCCAGCCATATAGCCTCTGATGCAACTACTCAACTCTGCTGTTGTCGTGCAAAAGTGGACATAAATAAACTGTATACAACTGGTCATGGCTGGTGTTGAAATAAAACTACAGACACTAGATGGGACACCTGGGTGGCTCAGTTGGTTGAGTGACATCAGTTCAGGTCACCATCTTCCAGTTCGTGAGTTTGAGCCCCACCCACATCAGGCTCTCTGCTCTTGGCCTGTCAGTGCAGAGCCCACTTCGGATCCTCTGTCCCCCTCCCTTGCCCTCCCCCGCTTGTGCTCTCCCCCAAATAAGTAGATACTTTAAAAAACTATAGACACTGGAATATTTCACATAACTTCGTTAGTTTCAAGCGTACAACACGATGATTCGCTATTTGTATATATTTTCAAACGGATCACAGTTAAGTCTAGTTAACACCCGTCACATAGCGACACATTTCTTTCTCATGATGAGAACTTTTAAGATCTAGCCTGATTATATGAACTTAAATAATTTTCATGTATCATCAAACATCAGTCTTAATTGTTTAAAACCACCGAAAACAAAAAACAACACTCTGAGCTCGCCGGCCATAGGAAAACACATGGTAGGATGCGTTGGGCCCGCAAGACCCCTGCAAGGTGAGTTCCCTTCCAACACTTCCCCTGCCCTCTCCTCCCCGCCGCGAGCCCACCACAGCCCATCATAAGTAATGTTCCAAGGACCACGACGTGAAGTCGTTTTCTCTGTTAAAGCTCATCGTGATCTCAGTTTGAACTTCAAGTCATTACCTGTCCTCTTGTGCGGGCATTTAATACTCGCAACCCCACTGTGAAGTCTGTCCCCCAAGTTTAGGAATGGGGGAAACGGAGCCGCCGCCGCCCAGGTAAGGAGCCAGTGCCAGGACGTCCGGCACACGCTCTCTGGCTCCGCGGCGGGAGCTCCGTCCCCATATTCCGGGGGTCCTTGTCCGCAAGGGTGCGCGGGGTTGGGAGCCAGGACCCGCCTTCCATCCGGGAGGGAAGCAACCGGACCAGTTCCACTCACTCCTTCCCTCCACCCGAGAAGCTGGGGGAGCCCAGGCTTCTCCCGGAACCTCTTCGCTCGGGGAGGAAAGGTGCGGGGGAACTCTAGTCTCGAATGACCCAGGGCTGCGGGGGGACGTTTCACCTGCAGGACTGCCTCGTTTCAACAAGAACTTTATGGCTCCCGGAAGTGCCTCCTCCCGGTCCTCTTCCCAGCCTCACGCCCGTGGGCTGCAGTTGGAGCGATGGCGGCGGCAGCCGCTGGGCCTGGCCCGGGCTCTGGACCCGGGGACTCTCCGGAGGGGCCCGAGGCAGAGGCTCCGGAGCGTCGGCGGAAGGCGCACGGGATGCTAAAGCTTTACTATGGCCTCTCGGAGGGGGAGGCGGCGGGGCGCCCCTCGGGGTCGGACCCCCTGGACCCGACGGATCTCAACGGGGCGCACTTCGACCCGGAAGTGTATCTGGACAAGGTGTGTGTTTGTGTGGTGGGGGGAACCAGGCTCCCGATACATTGCACCCCCAGATCGTGCCATCGACTTTGTTGCGGGGTGAGGGAAGCAGGGGTTCATAAAAAGACGACGACGGTCGGGCAGGAAGCAGGGGCAGAGCTGGAGTCTAGGGGGGCATGGGCAGATCTGGACCGGCCTCAAGTGATGCGGAGTCGGAGGTGTCCTGGGCTGACGTTCTGACGGGCCCCGGGTAGGGGGCGTGGCCCAGGCGCTGACAGGCATAAGGACGGGGCCTTGGCCGGGCCTGAGCGTTTGAAACGCTGACAAATCCCAAACAGGACCGAACCTGGTAACTCCCGACCCGTGCCACTTATAGGCTCTATGTCTAGGATTCCAGACAGGGGTGGGATGCGGGTTTTCGTGCTCTGAAAGCCTGAGGGACCTGAGTACCCCCTGACCTGAACACTAACAACCCCATTTACTCCAGCTGCGTAGAGAGTGCCCCCTGGCCCAG